AGTTCCTACATTTTGTTATGCATTTCTGTCCCCAGTTTTACTGCCAAATACATTTGCATAACAACAGGACCCTTGTTTCTTAATGGTTCATCTGTTTCCATGGTGGATTCACTACATGAGCTCTTCAGTTTTTAGCATCCCAGTACCTATTGTCTAAATGAGGTAAAGAGAATGTTATGACTATGTGGGTTAGAAATCTAGTATTTATTCAAATTCTCACTGTAACAAAAAGGAAATGATTATCTGATATATGAACAAGCTGGTAGTAGTTGGGAACTTTGTAATAGATTATTTGTTAAAGGTATTTTTGTGGCAGGTGTAAGACACCTGCTACAACCCTAAACCCACTAACCTGGGAGTAAGTCCTGATTAATTCAACAGGATTTATGAGTAGACATGGTTAGGATTGTGTTGTTAGCCATTCTTAGTCCTGTAGGAAATACTAGGTGGTAAATCACCTTGAAGGGAGTTGGTCTGTTTCAGAAATGCTTTGTTTAGCAATTGACTCCCCACTGTTCACTATTCTTATTCAAATGCATGCTCTAGAACTGCTGTTAATTTTTTTTAGGGGTGCTAAACTGAAAGAAGAGCAAATTGCATTGTGCTCTACTTTACAGTGCTCTCTTGACACATTAATTATGCACATGATTGCTACTGTTAAGAGTTATATGCTTTCAACTGTGCACGACTCCCTCTATTCAAATGAATTCATTTATTTTAAATGAATATGTATATACTGTATATATAGGTGATATTTCTGTCACAGCAAGCATTTAGGCTTGCCAGGTAGAGCAATCCCCCACTCCACTGTGCACTGTTATAGGGTTCTCCTGAGCCCCATATCCAACTTGGGGAGGTTACATGGAGAGAGAGGGGAGAAGCCCACTTGCACAAGGGGTTTTCCTGACAGGACTTATTATATTAATCCTACCCATAATTTATACGAATCCTAACTGTTCTCACCACCCATTCCTTTTCCTTCCAGACTTGGAGAAAGGTAGATGGGAGGCTGAATATAACATTTAGTGAGGCTAACTATCTTTAATCTATGGCAGGGCTGGCCAATCTGTGGCCTCTCAAATAGTGTTTTACTCCAGTTCCCATGAGCCCCAGGCAGCATTGGCAATGGTTGGGATGATGAGAGTTGCAGTCTAACCTCTGGAAGGACACAAGTTGGCCTGATCTATGGGATAAATATTTTGCGCTACTGGTTGCAATGTCTGTGAAAAGGTATCACTGAGCTCAATTAATTTGAGGGCTTTCTGAGATGTGTCTGTGATTCTAAAAAAAAGTTGAATAGGTGAAATAATGTAGAGGCATCATATTAACAAATGAATGCTGAGTGCAGATGTATAATTAGTTATTTAGATACAGAACTTAACCCAAGGTACTATTTCTGGGTTGGGGGAACTTAACCCAAGGTACTATTTCTGGGTTAGGGGAGTCTGTAACCTGAAGCATCTGTAACCTGAAGCGTCTGTAACCCAAGGTACATGGATTCCTCTGAAAGTAGGTAATAGACTGGACTGGTCTGTTTGAAGCGATGAGGTGTTTTGTGTGTTAAATATTGAATCTATTAAAAATAAAATGCCAATAGAAAATATAGTGGCATTTTTATCAAGCCAATCTATATCTGTATACTTATGTCAGTTTCACAAGGCCTTTCATGGAGTGGAGTAGCTACAGCAAGCCAGAAGGCAAGTATTCTGCTTTATATATGCTAGAACTCAGTAAGATCTTGAGCATCAAGGTCTGGGACCATAGAAACAGAACCTCAAGCAACTACTTCATAGCCTGGTTTCCCTTACAATGACAGGGCTGCTGTAAGGCAGGCTGATGCTACAGATATGTTGTACCTCACACACCAAAAGAGTATTGTGAGGCTAACATCCCTAATCCCTGTGCAGTTTAAAAAGTCTATTATTTTTCACACAGAAAGCTGCCACCTGAGGTCCAAGGCCTCAGGTAAGTAATGTATCAGTTTGTTAAATAAATGGAATTTGTTGTTCCCTATCCTACATGTCCTTTGTACTAGGATTATTCCAGCAGTTGCTTACCTTTGACAGAAGGTCTGCTTTGAAGCGACTTAAGAGATTTAGAACAGTGGCTGTAGAAATGCTATCTGATAAGGAATAATTGAGCTGAGCTTGACAAAAAAAAAAGGCAAATCTACATTTAAATGGCATAGTGGACATTCTCTGAAAGATGTCTCTGTGTTGATAACTTATGAGACTTTAAATAGAAGATGTGACAAACTACTGATAAGGTAGCAGTCAAATTAATGTGTGTGCGTGTGTGTGTTTAAGAAAAAGAATCATATCCAGGTGATTTAATATTTTCTCCAATCAACCAACCCTTCCAAACAAATAACGTAGTTGGAAATAGTGAAGGAGAAGGAGATGAGGAAATGTGTACATGGAAGGATAAATGTCTTTGTATGTAAGACAAAAATCCTCTCTATGAGCTTTTTATATGTATAGGGTCCTCACATGACTACAGGGGACCACCTGAATTTTCCAATGTGTACAATTACACAGGATGGGATTGTTAATGAATAAGGGCTTCTGCATGCAGAGAAAAAGGACAAGAACAGGTTAAATTAGGTATGCTGGTTAATTGGGTGTGTTTGTCCTGCACCTGCAACTAGTTAATCATGTGAGAGTGAGTCAGCAAGCCTGTGAGAGTGATTCTTGTGTTTGAAGCAAGTTTGCTCTTGGTTCCTGCCCTTGGCCAGAGCCTAGTCTGTGTTGGAACACTGCAAGGAAGCTGTATGCTGATAGAAAGACTGTATGCTGTATATTACCACTGTGTGTAACCTGTAAGTTATGGAACTGCATTATACTGTCAGTAAAGGGACTGAGCCTAACTAGAACTGTCTGGTGTTTTTCTGTTCCATTGGCACACTCCGTTGGTGTGTTGAATGGGCACTCTGCACATGCCCCAACAGGCATATGCAACCACTTCCGCACTCTTTCTGAAAGCATTTTTACACAGCACAGTGGAGGTGCTTTGCTCTGAAGCTGCTTCAAGCAGCTTTTAGAGGATTTTTAAGAAATGGGAAGCAGCCCTGGGTGCACCTCAAAAGTAGAATGATTGATCCAGTGTTTGGAAAGGACTAAACCATAGATCTATGTTCTGTTTCAGCTGAATAAAAAAAACTTCGTGCCAGATTATGGAGTAGACTAAAATCCACAACCATCCATGATTTTAATTTTAAGTGGGTGCTCTGTGAAAAGTAGTTGGAGCAAAGGTAATTAAAGCAAGGCATGTCTATTTCAAATTAAAGACAGCCCATTATCTAGCGCTATTAAATGATTTCTCATATGTATTGTTACACATAGATAAAAGAAAACATTTTTGCATATCTTTAGATGCTCGTCTACTGTCCTCTGAATATTTTTCCTTCATTCTATTTTGTCCATTCCAGCTACTCATTGGTGGCAGCCATCTCTCAACAGGACCATCACCAATTAAGCCCCTGGCAACAAAACCGTATCATGACATAGCATCCTTCATTTATAGGCATTTTGAAAGGAGAAAGAAATGCTGCCAGGGAGCTCAACCACTGCTAAAATTGGCGGCAATGGTTTTGTGTGTGTGTCTTAAGGGGGAAGGAGAGAAACATAAGCCAGCTCCTTGGGAATGGAGACACATCCCCACCACACATTATAACAGGCTTCCTCAAACTCGGCCCTCCAGATGTTTTGAAACTACAATTCCCACCATCCCTGACCACTGGTCCTGCTAGCTAGGGATCATGGGAGTTGTAGGCCAAAAACATCTGGAAGGCCAAATTTGAGGAAGCCTGCATTATAAGACTTTGCCACCATTGCTAAAGATTGTAACAATCTTTAGGAGCCACTCTTCCCACCAACAAAAACCTGGGGGTGGGGGAACCTTCTGGCTGAATACTTTGGCCTTATACTATTCTGTACTGCAACATTTTATGGCAGATCCCACTTTATTATTGCATGCACAGTGAAGATTCATGCAGTTTATCCCTGATAAATGTCAGTTTGCATAGAAGGTGTGACTTTCAGAAAGACTTAAGCTTCAGCAGCTCCCAACTTAGAAATTAAGTGCTGGGAAAAGATAAGGAAATGATGAGTCTTTCATGCTTGGATTTCTTTTAGAGCTTCTCTGCAATGTCTGGCACAGCAGAGGCAGTTTAGGGTGGTGCAACCACAGCAGTGGCACTGCAGGGGGCGCCACAACAATGCTGCAGAATGGAGCGTGAGAGGCAGGGGATGCCGAATTTTAGCATCACACACGGCACCATGGGAATTTGAGGACCCGAAGTCCACTACTGGGCCCATCTACATGCTGGTCTAGGCTCTTCAGGGAGGAAGGGTGGGGTATAAACTCAAGACATTTATATGGGTAACTGTAAAGCTATCATTAAAAAATATGTTTTTAGAGAAGCTGCTCATCTCACATTGAAGGGTAGTTTATTTTCCTTTGTAAATAAATAAAAAATATAAGCAGAGGTAACTTTAAAGTGCCCCCATTTGTGTCAAATTGCCTTGTACACAGATATTTTGGTTTTGAGTATTAAATGCATACCCCCATTCTTTAATTCCATATAGTCCCTTCCATCTTCTATATCAATTCTGAGTCTTCACCACAATTTTCTTCCTTCTTAATTCCACTCTGTATAAATCCATTTGCTTTTGTCCCGACCTGCTTTCTCTGTCCCCCCCCCCCGGCTTTTTCTGTCATTCCTTCTCTGCATGTAAGATTCATAGTGTATGAAACACTGCAAAACCCTACCAAACTTGTTTGTTCAAAGTGGGACAATAACGGTGTAAGTGCACAAGACATGCGCCAATGAAAATGTTGTTAAAATCAAAGCAATTGTTAATACTGTTTCAGAAAACACGGGGGGGGGGAGCTAGGGGACTCCTGTTCTGTTTATTTAAAGTATACCCTGATTTCAGGTGTCAAGATATTCTTATTCAGGAATATTCAGAATGACCATGCTTCTTTTTTTCTCCCTGCAGCACCACTAACAGAAAAACCACCAAAGCTTTTATATCCTTCAGAGAGTAAACTGACAGTTCAGGAGACACAGCTGGGTAAGTTGCATTCAGGAAGTGCTGATGTCTGCTGTGTCTTAATGTTTGATGAAGGCATTAACAATTAAAATTAAAACTAGAGATGACATTGCACTGTGCTTTTGTGCAGATATGTTTCAGGTTAGGTTATAATAATGACACATTTGCATTGATTCTATCGTATTTAATATTATAACTAATCTTTGTTAAAAAGCAAGGTGCCATTTTCTTTCCGTAGTTTGCAGTTATTCTGTTTACAACTAATAGTTAGGGGAAGTTAACTAAAAGTAGAGGAGAAGTCAAACTGAAGAGTTCAGTTGATGTTTTGGGGCTATAATTGCCAATGGTCAGTGTTGATAAGATTTATAGTCTGAAATATTTGGGAAGGCTATGAGTATTACAAGTACAGAAGCCAATTTTCCTGATGATTCTGAGTGCTACATGGTTTGTTGACTTTGAACCAAATGTACTGAATTTTTGTTTTACCCATACATGGACTTTCAAGCTATATTAAGTCATACTTTCATACCTCCAAAAGAGCATTTACTTTGTTCATTTTGTCAGATTATAACTGAATTTCAGTGGCTTATAATTCACTGTGAAATTCCCTGCGTTATGTTTGTGATTCTTTGGTAACTACAGAATAGAGTGTTGTCACCACTGCTATCTAATTTTTAATGCTATCTTCCCTGCCATGGCAGATCTAGGCTATGTTAGTGGCATTTAATGAATGTGGTTTTGGGGTCTATGTCATATGTTCACTTGGAAACTACAGGTTATTACTTGTCTTAAGACTAATTCTCGACTTTTTTCATAGTAAAGGCCTTACTTTACTATAGTAAAGGTGGACTTTAGCACCATTTTAAAGCATATATTTTTTCATATAGAGCCATTTGTGAAAGCACCCTCTGCTTAAAAACCTGAAAAGTTACGGTTGCTTCCTCAGAAAAAAACACTACCCTTGTGATATTACCATCTCAATATTGTCAGAATAGGGCTTCAATATACATTAGATTGTTTGAAGAAAATAGTATTTGTTGGTAGTCAGTTGCACTTTCTATAATATTATGTCTTTTTAAAAGAACAAGCAATGATTTATTCTAGCCTTGTATGTGATCATATCAATGGAATTTATGCGTCTGCTTAAACATTTTCTGACTTTGCAGAGTACAAGTTTGGCTTCTAAATATTACCATTGATGTTTTGTTGTATTTCTATGATGACTCTTGTGTTTAACTGCATACCATCTGTCTTACTTAATTATGATCAAGGAATGTGAAATATTAGACATCTTCTTAGGCATCTTTGAAGCATTGCTAGATTGGCAAATTATAATTAATCTGGTACTAATTTCTGACTCCAAACAGTTAATTGGCATACTGCAAGTTGCTGTTTGGCTTCTGAGTTCTGCACTTCTAGGTGTGTTAAAGATAAATTATTACGGTCATATTCTCATATGTGTGGACAGCGCCAGAAGTTCTGAACCTGACCTGAGAAGCAGTATTCTATTTACGATGGGAAGGCACATTTTTATAAACTTACCACAGAACATAAGAAAGCATTGGGTTTGCAATGGCTAGTCCTATGAGAGATAGAAATATGTCTAACCTTTTGCTCAGAAAGCGTTTGTTGAAGTAGTAGTTCACTGTGGGTCTGATCAAATGCATACTGCAAATATTAAAATTTCAGATAAAAGGAAAATTCTGGAAATTCTGTTTCCAATGAAGCACATACATCATGTAGAAAAGCAACATGGTAAATAATGCATTAATTAAGGCCAGTTTAAAAATAAATCTATCAAAATGTGTAAATAGAATGTATAAACCATATGTACTAACTCTCTTGAACAGGTTTCAATCAAGTTCTGACAGGAAAGCTAAGGGAGGTCAAGAATAAGATAATATAAACTCTTCTCCGCTTTTACTAAGTGGTTCATTTGAATTAATCAATATCTGTGTTTAAATCATGCATTTAGGATTTGAGTTGCAGAGGGGCTTTTAATAATACACATGGTTATTTTCTACTCAAGAGGATCAACCTCTCAATATTTGGTTTGTTTGTTTTTACTGCTACAAGGAATAGGTGAATGCTTAAGACACCAGGCTGTCTGTGAAAATATATGAGAAAATTGTAAGAGAAAATTGTGGAGTAGGGTTTCATAGAAATCTGTCTTGTATCTTTCTTCAACCGCTTCCCTCACTGAGGCAGAATTATAAAGCAGTTAGTTGTGGCAGGCCAAACAAAACTCCCCAATGGCCATGCAGTTTATAGAAACAACAAAATAAGTTTCCCCTGGCAGGAGTTTTGCTCCACTTCACTAGACAAGACAGCACAAAGATGTCATCATCTTTTAGGAAATAGTCTCAATTTTGCTTCCAAAGGAGGTGCCTAAAAACCTTTTCTGAAACCAAAGAAGACAGAGAAAATTAGATTCACTTTCCCACAAATTTTTACAGACAACCTAAAGCACAGCCTGCATTCTTTCACATCTCAGCCTAAATGAAAAAAGAGTTGGAGTTGTGCTCTTTGTCACTTTTCTTTTCTTTTTTAGCTGCTTAGAACATCCTGCTTAAAGCTGGAGCATAGGTAACAATATTTTCAAAACACCCCACTAGTCCAAGGATTGTGTTAGATAAAGGCTGGAAAACCTGTGGACCCTCCAGATTTTGCTGGGCTAAACAAAAGCAAGGATTTTCAACAATCTTCATGGTGGAAACGCAACATCTAATTATTTGGGGCATGGGCATTCAGTGGGGTTTACCATCAGTACACAAGGTACCTGTGGGTTTATGATTTTTCCCTTTCTCTTAAATGAAAACATTTGCTTTAAGCAACAAAGCTGCAATGAGCTGAGTTCTGCTCCATACACGATAGTACAACAGGGATGACACTACATCATGAAACATGAGTAAACTTATCTTCAGATAAAAGGGGAGGGGGACTTGAAACCCTCTACTGCCTCCTGCAGTAATAGAAAGGTCCCCAGGGTATTCCAACTACAATGGCAGCAATCTTCATCAATCTACCAGGATGCCATTCTGGTAAGCCTAGTGAAATAGCTGAAAGGTAGCTCAGCTGCACCAGAGTGTAGACAAAGGGAGAGTTAAACAGAGAAGAGTGTCCAAATTAAGCAGGTAGACACTGTCAGATGAGGAGGAGCAAAGGAACCTGACTGAGAGAAGAGGTGCCCAATAGGAAAAAGGCCAGCACAGAACCAATGTGTGGTTCCTTCTTTACAGAAGGAATTCGAACAAGGAGGAAGTTGGTGGACACCTGCAGAGCACCTTGGCTAGTGGGAAAGAGGCATCCACTATAATTTCCTACAATGGGAGAAGGAGCAGGAGGATTTATTGGCAGACTTAATACCATAGTCTCAGCTCAGCTATAGGTGCATATGTTTAGGAAGTCCTTTGGGCAGAATCTTTCTTTACCCAAGCTATGCACATTCCACCACCACCCCTCAAAGAATTCTGGGCAATGTAGTTCACAGCCACACTTAACAAACTACGGTGCTCAGAATTCTTTGGAGGGGAAAATGTGTGCTTTGAATATGGTTTTAAAGCATTATGTATTTGCAGTCCCAGTATCAGTGATGTGAATCATACTCACTTCAAAGTAAGAACCGCAACTTAACATTACTATGAGTCAGAACTCTGAATTTATTTATTTTAACTATAGAAACGGTTTAACTCAGCAATCTTTCTACAGATAATTAAGGTTCTACAAATAATTACAATTAATTATAAATCTATTGCTTACATTTATAATTTCATATGGCATCTCAGCTTTTTGTATGAGCTTAAAATCATGTTGTTAATAAGTTTGTTCCTTCAACAAATTATCATTACTTCATTAATTGGAAAATTGCAGTTGATTAGTAAATTAGCAACTGAAGACCTTTGAGGAAGATTAATAAATTCTAAGAAGATAAATAGAAATAAATACTCTTAACAATGTGGGGATATTCAGTTCACCAAGTTGGACTCAGTAAACCTTTTCCCCCCTACTTTTGATATTTGCAGTACAATTTTAACATAGAAGCGCCATGAAAATGGGTCGTTTTAAAAGCAATTGCCATTTCACTTTTAGCAGAGGAGCTGAAGGGTAGATTGTAAATAAAAGCAGACTCAGCACTAAACACACTACTTTAAATTAGATACAAATCTTTCATTCTCGAGTGGTGTGAAGGAAAACGAGTCTTAGAAAAAAGGATGGATTCTCTCTGTTCAGTAACTGCTGTGTATGAAATCTATGCTGACCTTGATTTAGTCACCTATGGGAAGTCTCACAGTCTCAGTTTACTTGGACAGCAAATTGAAAGGGTACCATCTAACCTTGAGATTTCAGGATCATAGAATCACAGAATCGAAAAATTGTAAGAGTTGGAAGGAACCCCGGGGGTCATCTAGTCCAACCCCCTGCAATGCAGCAGTCTCAGCTAGATCATACATGACAGATGGCCATCCAACCTCTGCTTAAAAACCTCCAAGGAAGGAGAGTCCACCACCTCTTTCGGAAGTCTGTTCCATTGTTGAACAGCTCTTGCCATCAAAAACTTATTCCTGATGTTTATGTTCCTATATTCAGTTTTGATCTAAGTTTATGTCATAAAAAAGAAATACTTTCAAATCAGGCTCTCTCTTTCTTTCTTTCTTTCTTTCTTTCTTTCTTTCTTTCTCTCTGATTTTGGTAGCCTGGTCACTTTACAATCCTTCATTTCCTTTCTTTACTTTTCAACTGAAACACTACTTTGCCTGCAATAAACTCTTGCCAAGTGCGCCAGTGTCTGCATGCTACCAGATGCACCCATTTTTGCAGGAAGTTTTCTCTTCACACATAGCCACAAATATCTCCTTTCCCCAAGTCCAAATGTAGCTAGAGATGAAATATTTGTCAAACATTGATTAAAGTGCATCGTATAAATCACAGCTTCCTAGGAGAGCACTGATTTCCTTATGCAAGAAGCTCATGATTTATGGTTTGTATCCTTTAATATTGGGAAATAATGTTAGTAGCTGGCC